AAAAAAAAAAAAAAGGAAATTGGCAAATTTTGGGCGACCGCAGACGCTTTTTTTTTTTTTTAATTCAACTATTGTTTGGATTAGATAAAGAATAGGACACTTATCCCTTTCTGATTGGCCACCATAATTTTAATGTAATAAGATAAAATAAAATATGTTTTAGATCACAACTGAAATTTCTCTCTTTTCACCTTTTTCTTAATTATACCTTATTAATTTTATCATCCATTTTTTTATTTTCTTAATTGTGCAACAAGCCATATGGATCCAAATTTTGAGTATTACCTCAATTCTCAAAATTTGTCGAACTCTGAAAATTTTTAGAATTTCAAAAATTATTCACATGAGTCATTTTCTCCTAATCTTACCCAATTTTCAGTTTCTGTAAATGCCTAACCCCCACAAAACATCTCTCAAAAACTAATTAAAAATGTGCAACAGACACGCACAATTCCTCAAAACGGAACATAAAATGTTAGTTGGAGTGTGGCGGAAGATCTTGCTCTAATGTCAGCTTGGTGTTTCGCTAGCGAAGATAAAATGTGTGGCAAGAATCAGAAGGGTTCTTCATTATTGCACGCATAGCTCAAATGTTTGAGCAAGCTCGATTGGAAAATCCAGAATAAAATTGGTGAAAGAAACTTGGATTCAATGAAAGGTCGTTATAACGCCTTAATGAAAATGTAAACAAGTAGAGAGGTGCTTACATGGAAGCATACATAAATAAAAAGAGCGGAATGAGCATAAAAGATGTTGAAAAACAAGCTCATATAATTTATGGAGCTGGTGGTAGCAAGTTTACAGACTTGCATGTGTTTGAAGAAGTCATGCGAAAGCACCCCAAATGAGAATCAAAATTAGATCGTGATTCAACTCGTTCACGCCCTGAAGATGAAATGAGTAATGAAGAAAGTCATGACAGTTCCAAAATATCAAGGACTACTGAAGATGAAGGTTATTCAATTCCCTCAAATCCAGAAACTCCAGTTAGTGATTTTGTGGGTCTCGAAGGTAGAGATATGACGAAAAAGAAAGGAAAAAATGTAGCATCACAATCTTCTTCCATTCCTGATGAGTTCACTGTATAAATTCGTGCACTAAAACTTACAAGAAAGAAAGAATGTGATTTAATGACAAAAATATCGAACGATAAGATGGAGTTGGAACGCAAGAAAGAAGAAAGAAAGACTAGGGAAATGAATATGATGGTGTTGAATATGTTGTTGGCAAAAGACCACTTATCGCCGGAAGATGAAGAGATGAAACGTCATTTAACAACAATTTTATTTGGAAAGTCGATTTAATTTATTATCATGCAACTTCTATTTTTTTATTCTGATGTAAATTTTTTTTAGTTGTATTTTAAAATATTAATTTAATGAAATCAATATTTTTTATTATAGATTTTTAATTAATTTATCACAACTAAAACAATAACAAAAAATCTATTATAGATAATATTTAATAAATAAAAATAAAATAAATAGTATGTTGGGTTGAATTATGGATAAAAATACGTAGGTTGTTAAAAGTTGAGTTGTATAGGTGGAGAAGAAATAAAATATTTTTTTATTGAGTAGCGTTTGGTTGCGGATAAATATAGTTTTAGAAATATTATATCCAAGCTTACCGTTTTTAAGAACGATTTTTTATGTACTTTTTTTTTTTTTTTTTTTTTTTTTTTTTTTTTTTAATCTATGTAAAAGAAAAAAAATATAAAATTTTTTGGGGGCGAGCTAAAGGATTTGGAAAGGTAAAGATAAATTAAAACCAAATTAATGGAAGTTTTGCTGCGGCTATCGCAGCCAACGGCTACTCCGCTTGCGCGCCCATCGCCGCCATTGTTGCTGTTTCACGCTTCTAAGAAGAAAATCAATAATACTACTTTCAACGCCAAGCTCGAGACAAAAGACGAAGATGACCGTTATTACAGTGAGGCTACGAAGAGCGCTTGTCTTCGTTACCAGGAGACCCTTCGACCAGGCATGAACACCTATGTTCCTGTGTACGAAATTTGAGGAACTATTTTCTCGAATTTATTTTTTCTGCATAAATTATCGTTCAGACATTTCCTCGAACACTTGGTAGATAAGTTGCTTTGGTGGGAAGATGTGTGTGTATAGTGTATTTAGCTGCCTTCTTGTACAGTCTGTATGTCGTTCAAGAATATTGTGTGGAGTAGCCTGATGTTCGTCCTTTATTGTCACTACAATATTAGTTTTTTATGCTTTGCCCGGAAGTTGAAGCTCACTATATCTGAAAGTTCTTTGTTTTTTCCCTTCTTTTTTTGGGCTTCCGTATAAATTTCTTGAATTGATAAGAGTAAATGAAAAGCACTATTGATTCTTAGTTAAATGTGTTGAAGTTACGAATGTTTTGATTTTTTTATGGTGCAGATCCTATGTTCACGGACCCATATATCAGATGCCTTTTGCCGCCCATAATTGAAACTGATCGACCTCAGGTTCTGAACAAACATTGCTTAGCAACCAAGTTTATTGATGATAAATTGGTCGGGACAATGCAGAAAATCGATGCTTTCAGGCAGGTATCACCCTAATGCACACAAAAAAAGGCCAAGTGATGTGCTATTCCTCAGTTTTTTTTAGGTCATATGAATGTTGTTTTATCTTCTAAATTCTGGCAGGTTGTTTTGTTGACTGATGGCATGGACACACGGCCTTACAGACTTAACTGGCCTTTATCAACCGTATTGTTTGATGTGTCTCCTGATAGATTTTATAAAACGTCTACCAAGCAGCTTGAAGGTCTGTCTGTATGTTACCACTGTCTTTTTGAACTCAATCATGGAAGCTGTTAAAGTAATGTGGGGGAGTATTTGAGAAGTTATGCTTATGGAGCAAGAAGGAAAAATAGTTGAGTCAAAAGTTTATTGCATTTGCAAATTGAACCTAAAAGTTGATCAAGTGGGAAAATAAAACTCTAATACAGGTTATAGATTCTATTTTAATTATGTAAAATCAGAAAGCAAAAGTGCTCATCTCAAAAGGCTACATTCTTTTTTTTTTTTTTTGTTGTTTAATTTTAAATTATCAGTATAAGTGCAATTAATTGTTGTGTGGTCCATACAAGGTACTCTAAATTATTGTTGAGATTTTTAACCTGAAGAACATTATGCCGTAGCATTCCAAAATTTGATCGAACTTCTTACATCGATATTATGTTATTGGGTTCTCTGCAAAATTTCCATATGAAGACTGTAAAGTCTGAGCAAAATTATGCATATAGTTTTGATTTGACCGAAGTTATTCGTTGGAATAAAGGGTCTATACGCAACGAGAATTTGTCTGGCTAAATGTGTAAACATTTAAGATATGATAATGGAAACTCTCTGTGACATTTCATGTTCATTGAGTGCTGGAATGATTTCTAACCAATTGCACCTCTATTTTTTCATATTTTTCTTTTCCCGGTGCTTTTAACCATTAGATGTTGGTGCTAAAATTCCAAGAGGCTGTTTGTTCTTTCATGTTCCATCTGAAACCCCTAATATCCAGCAAGCCTTATGCATTAAAGGATTTAACGGCGCCAGACCTAGCCTTTGGGTACTCCAGGTGATTAAATCCCGTTCTTGAAAAAAATCGAACCGTATTTTTCACATGATCCAACTAAATGATCACCCAAAATGCACAATGATTAACATATGCATGTGTCATTTTCCGCTTTAAATCTTGCAGGGACTTCCGGTTTCAAGTTTGGACAGTTTTAAAGATATTTTGGGTGTTGTAAGCAATTTGGCCATGAAGGGGAGTATTTTACTCGGAGAATTGGCTGATGATTGGCTGATTGAAATTGAAACTGGCATCAAGGTTAACGAACGAGCTTTTATTATGTTGCTTTCGACAGAAATTAAGTCTGTTTATTAGATTTTGGTCCCCCATTTTCTTTTTAATGGAATAAAAAATCATCTTCTCTATGTATTTGTTTCGATACAGTCCACAATAATGGAATTTATGGACAAGCTTTTCATGAGCCATGGCTTCAAGGTTGAGATGATTGGATATGATGAAGTTGCTGTAAATATCGGGAAAGAATCAGTGACTGATGACCGCGAAAATATACTTTTCGTGGCCGAGCAGCTGCAGTTTTCTGATGATCAGGTTAATGATAACATTTCTTATGTTCGAACATTGAGTTTCGATAAATACCAACAAATCACTATTTTTCGCATGCAATAAGCAATTATTTCTATTTAATGAAAAATGTGTTAGAAATAAACCAAAGGCTTAGGTTATTTGAAAACAAGAAATATTCTCTTTTACAAATTGCTATATGAATTGGAGTATTCATTTGGTAAATACACACCTCAAGGTAGCACTGCTAACACTATGAGTTTTTATTTGTTTATGTCAAAGTTATTAAGTGTTGATGTAAAATATCACAGATGGAACTATGGAGGAGAGAATTCCAGAGGTTAGAAGAAGATGGTGATGAAGAAGGCTTTGAGGAGCTCTGAATGAAAATAAATGGACTTCTCAAGATTGTAACTTAAAGGGCGCTTCAATTTTCTGAACAGATTGATGTTATACTATTGCATTGTACGCATGAATTGGGATAATTTTTTTATGTAGGGAAGTGTACGAGTGAGGCGATATTAGTGAGATCGCAATCTCAATAACACCAAAAATGATATCAAATTTTTTAATTCATATTCAACTTTAACTGAATAAAACAATAGATGAAGTGCCCTTTAAATAAGACTCTTAAACTCTATTTCTAACTTTTCTAACAAGACAAGATCTTTTATTTTAATGTTTAATACTTAACTTATTCTTCAAGATACCTATGCTAATAATAATAATAATAATAATAATAATAATAATAATAATAATAATAATAATAATAATAATAATAATAATAATAGTCTACATCATTTTTCCCCTGTTCGGAAGGCTTCGCCCTCGAAGCCGATGCACCTGTGGCCGGTGTGTGGCCCATGGTAGGAAACCCCCGTCGTTTCCCCCGGTTGAACATGAAGGTTGAACGACACTGTGATCTACCTTGACTAGTCACAAATACTCGGTTGTTGGAATGACACTTCTCCTCTCCTCAACTTGAGTTACTCGGTCAACCCAAACAAATACTTCGGACCACAATCCAATAAATAACATTTTTTGTTTCCGAGAATCGATTTAGAAAGTGCACCATCGTCAACAATGGCAGCCGCACACTTCCCTTCATGAAACGCTTCAATAAATAGAACCGCGTCTCTTTTTCAGGTTTCTTAAATCCAAATGCAACACCACCTTCAAGGGTTATGAAACGTGGATTAAAAAGATGGCAAAAATTTGTCAGACTCGTGCCCTTGGAATTCTCTATACTGCATAACATGGCCACCAAGAATCGCATCGAGCTCAACAGTCTTGATAGCAGCAGTTCGAGCTTCATCCTTCGGCCCCGGAGGCTCTACATCTAAGATTGGCGGAACGTTGTACAATGGCCCATCTTGTTCTGCGCATAATTCAGGAATGTCAACGCGAAACGTGCCCTCTCATCGACCATATTCGCGATCAAGCCCAACGGATCGAACCCCTCGAAGCCGACGCCATCACTTTCAAGTCACCAATTGCATCGGGCACGATATCCGTCAACGAAGGCAACCTCCTCGCGCTTGCCTCTGTTGTCGCGTTGATTGTCGCCGTCCACGAAGACCGGGCCCTATCGCCGCATGTCACGGCCACCGTATGTAGCGAAGAGGTCAGCCTCGACGTGCGGGGGTAGAAAATCGTCGAAGAGATTCACCTCCGAGACTGTCTCCTTGCCGTTTTCGTCGTTGGATGGTGGTTGAAGAGATCTCCGATGGGTAGCCCCACCTGGACCACAACCTCTACGTCCTCCGCAAATTCTCCCGCTCACACCCGGTTGCCGGCATCACGGTATGTTTGTTTATCCCGAACCATGGTACAGTTAGTTACACGTATGTCCCCAATCTCCGCGGACAGATATGCAATCTTACGACTCATCATCCCGAGCAAAAAACTCAGGTTGTAGATGGCGGTGACACGCTTGTCGCTTGCAGCATCTTGTCTTCGCGACAACATTATGAATCGTGTTGACTTCTGATACCAACTGATGTAGGGAAGCGTACGAGTGAGACGATATTAATTAGATCGCAATCTCAAGAACACAAAAAACGATATCAAATTTTTAATTCACATTCAACTTCAATTGAATAAAACAATAAACGAGGAGCCCTTTAAATAAGACATCTATACCCTATACCTAATTTGTTCAACAAGACAATATCTTTCATAATAGTATTTAATTCCTAATTTATTCTCCAAGATATCTATGCTAATAATAATAATAATAATAATAATAATAATAATAATAATAATAATAATAATAATAATAATAATAATAATAATAATAATAATAATAATAATAATAATAATCTACACCAATTTTGAAGGTATTTATTTTTATGAAGCAATTATATTTCTACTTCATGTACTTTTACATATATATAATTTAAATAAATTATTAATTTTGTTGGGCTGGTCTAGTAATCATACATTATCAACATATATACTGTATACATGCATACTTATATACTGAAATGTGAACCTCTAAAAAAATATAAACAAAAAATATAATATTTTGTAGCAGAAGTATATATATTTTTGTTAAAAAGGTATGACTGGTGGACTTCAAAGCTAGACAGGCTGACATAATAATTTTGTGAAAATCAAATGGGAATATCTTGTTCCAACAACAAGCGCAAATATGATCACGAGCTACAGCATTTTCAAATCTTGCAATAAGTGATTGCTATAGACAAATAATTTGTAATATTTTTTTTTTTATTTTAATTTCATTTGCTTTTTTTTTTTGGCTACATTTCATCCTGAAAGAGCGGTGTCTCTTTGGTTATCCTAAGGGCCGAACTTTTATGCTTTCAAGCTAAAAATTGGAGCCTTTGAGATTCTAAATTTTTTTCCTAATTATCTCTTTTGAGAATTCTAATAAGTGAAACAATTTTGATTTTAATAAGCTCACTCTTTGAACATAAAACAGGCAAAAAGAATAGCACAAGAAACGAGAGCTGCTACATGTTTGGCCAAACGCAATGAATTCATTCAATGCAAATGCTAGGGTTTTACAGTAGCTATTTAAATGAAACAAAATGTATGGCTCTCATCGTCACTCTACATTCAAGCTACAGTACATGCACGTGGCATCATCTGGAGAGAACTGCATGGGGCCATAGTGCTTAGGGGCAGTGAAGTAATTTCTTGCTTGCATGCATACAAATCACGTGCTGCAGATGACATGGATGTAGCTATGTTGACCTCTTTGCTTTGTTCCTGAATCTTGACTTGTCTAACATGTCCCCTCAATTCGATCGAGCTCAAGGGCACAACATTCAGCTTATCTCTTAGGCGAGAGAAGGATTGCAAACTAAGTGGCTTAGTCAATATGTATGCTACTTGGTCGTGTGAAGGGACATGATTAATAGCAATGCTTTTAGCCTCAACCTTTTCTCTAACAAAGTGAATACGAGCTCTATATGCTTTGTCCTGGCATGCAACACTAGATTTTTTGCTAGATAAATTGTGCTCAAATTATCAACCCAAATGGTAGGAACTGCTGCACCTTTAACTCCAAGTTCACTCATGAGAGACTGCAACCAGGTGATTTCTGCAACATTGTGAGCAAGGCTTCTGTACTCTGATTCAGTGCTAGATTTAAAGACCGAGTTTTGCTTCTTGGCAGACCAAGAAACCAAGCTATCACCAAGGTAAACACAAGATCCTGTCATGGATTTTCTGTCATCATGATCTCCTGCCCAGTTTGAGTCAGAAAAACCTGTTAGATTTAGGTTGTTTGATCTCATAATATGTAAGCCGAAATCCTTTGTCCCAACCAAATATCTTAAAATTCTTTTCACTGCCTTCCAATGAGTTGACAAGGGACTAGACATGAATTGGCTTACCTTATTCATTGAAAAACTGATTTCTGGCCTAGTGATTGTGGCATATTGTAAAGCCCCAACCACTTTTCTGTCCAATGTCTCATCTATGTTAGACTCTCCTTCAAATTTGACAAGTGTAGAGAGGAGACCATTGGTGTTGGGCAGCTTTTGGCTTCTGTCATGTTGACTTTATTCAACACTTGTGAGATATAGCTGGACTGACTTCAAAATAGACCTTGTTTGGTCTTGGTTACTTCAATTCCCAAAAAATGCTGCACCTCACCAAGATTCTTCATGGAGAAACTTTCTTTAAGTTTGTTGATGGTTAGGTCTATTAGGTGTGGACAATTTCCTGTTATCAAGATGTCATCCACATTGATCAACAAGTACACCACTCTCTTTCCTTGACTCAACACAAATAGAGAGGTGTCTGCTCTTGAATTTTTGAACTTCATGTTGGTCAGAACAGACTTGATCTTAGTGAACCAGCTTCTTGAAGCCTGCTTTAAGCCATAGAGAGCTTTGGATAACTTGCACACCATGCTTCTGTCACCCTTTTCAAATCCAAAGGGCTGTTTCATGTAGATGTCCTCTTCAAGATCTCCATTTAAGAAGGCATTGTCCACATCTAGATGCTTAATTGGCCACCCTTCAGTAGTTGCGATTGTCATCACTACCCTTATAGTTGTGGGCTTGACAACTGGGTTGAATGTGTCTGAGAAATCAAATCGAGGAGCTTGTGAAAAACCTTGTGCAACAAGTCTTGCCTTATATTTGGATATAAATCCATCTGAGTTCCTTTTTATCTTGAAAACCTATTTGTTGCCAACAAGATTCTTACCTTATGGTAGAGTAGTCAGTGTCCAAGTCTTGTTCTTGATGAGAGCATCATATTCTGCATCCATTGCCTTCTTCCATTTTTCATCCTTCAAGGCTTCAAGGGGTGAGATGGGTTCTGAGGTATGAAGAGCAAGATTATAGATCTTAGGTTTATAAGTTCCAACCTTTGATCTTGTCGCCATAGGGTGTTGGTTCCCTTGGTAATGTTGACTTTCTGTTTCAGCAGTTGAGCCTTGGTCATCTTGAGAAAGTGGCAAGTCAACTATGAGAGGTATAGTTGAATAGCTTGGATCTGTACTTGAGGAAGCTTTATCAACATGAGATGATCTGATAACTGAGGGTGTTTTTTGCTTCTTTGGATTGTTTCTGCAGATCTTTCATTGTTTCTGCTTTCTCTGACTTCTTCAGTATTAATTTTAAGAAAGTCTTCAAGAATTGGCAAGGCTAAGGTGTGCACACCATTCCTTGTATCTGCAGTAATCCTTTCCTTTTCAAGATAAGGAAATATTCTTTCATCAAAGACCACATTTCTAGTGATGATGACCTTTCTTGATGGTAGCATCACTTTGTAACCTTTGTAGTGATGGTTGTATCCAATGAATGTGCTAGGCTGGGATCTGAACTCCAATTTATGTTTATTTAGTGGTCTGATATGAGGATAGCACAAACAACCAAACACCTTCATTGAATTATAATCTGGT